TTGGGGACGTCAGCACCTCTCTTGCCCTGCGCATCGAACACGCCAGGGCCTTACTCCTTCCCTTAGCTGGGGCTGCCCTGGACCGACAGAAGTGTTTCGACTACCTCATCACGGACATCTGCCTTAACCTTGCGCTTCACGCGGGGTGCCCCCAAGACATCGTTACTGTCCGCAGAAACTTCTACAGTCGCCACAAACGCTACATCCGCATGAACGGTGCGTACTCTAAGGAACTGGCCAGGACTAACGGTCACCTCCAGGGAAGCTCTTGGTCCCTGGACGACATTAAGCTGCTCATGTGTGTGTGGACCAAGAGACAGCATCGATACGTTCCGCGATCACTCAGCACTACCTTTGTTGACGACAGCAACTCCACTATTCACACCGCGCCTGAGTTGCAGAAATCTCTTGATGAAACCGCCAAGTTTGATCGATTTTCAGGTCAACGCATTCACCCTGGCAAAGTGGCGGGGTGGGCGCTCACCGACGAGCTTCACGCCGCCGTTACCCAGCTCACTCTGGCGGAACGGCCCTTACGCGTGGTCGACTCCTTCAAGCTCGTCGGGAGTTACATCAACGCCGAGGCAGCGCCGGCTCCAGCCGCGCTTAACCTCACGGCCACCGCTGACGCCCGTGTTCGCAGGGCGACTAGTCGCCTGCCGCGCATTGGCAAGCTCCCATCACCGATGCTTATTAAGGCGCGGCACGCCCGTTCCCTTGCTGCCAGCGTCTGTACCACGGGCACCGACATTCAAGCCCCATCAGGCCCCGTCAAAACTGCCTACAACCATGCCCTTAAGGCGGCTATCCGCCCCAAGGGAAACAGGTGGGTCGAGTTTTGGACTCTCATGGCCGTGTGCGTCCCAGGACACGCCCTGGAGATTGACGCCATTACGCAGCGTGAAGTCTTCCTGTGTCTGCGGCGACAGGTTAACCGCGACGCTACTCTCTGCGGTCTCGTCAGGGATCTCCAACACCATGTTCAGACCCTATTTGGGGGAGGACCTGTCGGACGACTTGTCCAGACGCTTCAGCAGCTCCGTTGGACCTGGCCCACATTTGGCATCATGTACGACGACTGGGGCTGTCAGATCAGTTGGCTGAACTTACCCCAAAACGCCTTCCTTCACATGCTGCGAGCCTCACAACGCAGAGCCTTTCTGAGAAAGATCAAGCCACGGCGTCATGACCTTGGACACCTTGCCTCTGTCAGACAGGGCCTCGACCTCTTCGCCAGCACGTGGCTCGCCCGAACGAAAGGAGCAGCCAAATGCAATGCCTGGCAGCTGGCGCTCCTCCTGAACTACCTGTCGGGCGGGGACCACACCCAACAGCGACGATCCCGATCAAACACGTCTGCTGACCCCAGCCCCATCTGCCGATACTGCGACGAGGAAGAGGAAACTCAGGAGCACACTGTCCGCGACTGCAAGTGCTGGGCCCGAGAAAGACTCCCTCTCACCACCCTCATCAGTGACGAGCAGTGGGCCCGTCTTCCGCCGCACACAAGACACTGCGGGCTCTTCGATGAAGACCCAGCCCTCCTCGACCTGCAGGCCGACCTCGCGAGGGACCCGCTACCTCAGCCCATACCGCGGCCCCCACCTGAGGGAGATCCTGCGGCTTCAGCCCAGGACTCCTACACCACCTACCTTGACCACGACACTGGTTGGACATGGGTCTACGCTGCCACGGACGGTGCATGCACCAACCAAGCCATCCCATTGCTAGCACGAGCGGGCTACGGCGTCTACTACGGCATCGACCACCGCATGAACTACAGTGCACGCGTTCACGGCATTACGCAGAACGCACAGCTTGCGGAGACCCTCGCCATTGTCCACCTCACGGCATGTGCTGAACGGCCCGTACACGTTTTCGTGGACAACCAGGCGGTGGTCGATGGGTTTCCAAAGTATCATCGACGGACACTCACCACCGCAGGGCACGCACGTGGAGCTCTGGGAAAAGATCCACCGATGCGTCATGGCCAAGCCCAACATGTTCCGCGTCGAGAAAATCGCAAGCCACCTGGGAGACATGGGCATCGACCTCGGGCTCATCGGGCCCATCGCGGAGGAGTTCAATCGTCAGGCTGACGCCCTCGCCACAACGGCGGCACGTACTCATAACCTTCCAGACGACATTGTCGAAGCTGCCAAAACACGACATCGCCAAGCGACCGTGCTTCATGGAGTCGCTGTCGCCATCTACGAGCGTAGACACCGTACACTCCCCCTCCCACACCGCAGGGCTGGGTTCACAGCTGCGGAACTCAACAAAATGGAACCAAATCCCCTGCTGTCTGACCAGGCACCACCCGCGGCTGGACCAGACATCCCACAGAACCCGGACGAGCTCTGGGCCGAGGCCCAACGGGCGATATTCGACGAACAGGAGGACGACCCGTTCGGCTTTGGTGGGGGCCTTGACTTCCTGGGCGACGGGCCAGCCAGCGCCAACCCTGCCCCGTCGGGCACCCGCACGGCGCCCTCGACTCCGCCATTGAGAGCGGCAGCGCACCCACATGACAACGCCGCTCACTTTCAAGACGCTGACGAACAGGAGGATGACCTGTTCAGCTTCGGTGGGGGATCGGACGCTTTGGACGACGGACCAGCCAGCGAAAACCCTGCCCCGTCGGGCAACCTCTCGATCCCTACTGCGACTCCGTCCCCGAGAGCGACATCGCCCACATACGATGATATCGGCCACCGCCAAGACGCCGACCACGACCTGGGTGACCCCCGCGGACTGAGTGGCATAGAGGACGCACCGCCGATACCACACGCTGCCGACCATGCCGCCCTACCGAGACGCCAACCTTCTACGCGACCGACCTCAGAGCCCTTGCACGGCATCATGATTGGTCCCACCGCGCAAACCACTCCGCCCCCCCACCGGCGGCAGCCCGCGGGGGCGGCTTCAGCCCCCCCGCAGGGCACTAAACCAGACAGGCCCTCGTGCCCCGTCCACGCTTCCATCGTTGCTGAGCGAGAGGAAGCGGCTCTCCCGACCTCTCGGGGCGTGGCCCTAGCGGCTCCAGCCCTGGGGTCGCGTGTGCCCCTCCAGTCACCCTTCAAGGGTGACGGACGACAGCGTACAGGGTGCCGCACTACGCTAGTCCACCATTTGGACAGGCGTACCGAGGACCTCGCCTCTGTCTCGAGGCTCTCGGCTGCTGGCACTGAGCAGCCACCCCTCACCGACCGCGAAACCGAGCTGTCCCAGGCTATGGCTGCTCTCCAGCAGAGGTGCGTTGCTCTCGCCGCGGACCTCGCCGCCGCCCAAGCTCGCCAAGGCCCTCTACTCCAGCGCCTCCACAGCGGGGCGAGCCTTTGCCGAGCTGCTCACGGCCTCGCCCGATGGTGCCGTGCCGTCACTCACCATCCAAGCTATGCTGTCATCGTTCCGCGGCGCTCCACCTGGTGCCCCGCGCTAATCTCCTCCTTTCTGCCTGCCCGTGTGTACGCGTGGCTCCGCGTCCACGGTGTCAGGGCGTGGGGGCGGGGGGTGCCCCGTCACTGCGCGCCGCTTAGCGGCCAAGCGCCCAACTGGCGGTCTGCCAAGCCGCCTAGCCACGTGTCAGCACGTCGCCTTTCTTGTTGGGGCCTCTTTCCTTACGCGGTCTGACAGGTGAGATCATCATCGTCTGTCCGCCGTCTGTAGCGTCTGTCGCACTGCGCCGGGGGAGGGGTTTTTTGTTGCCCGCCCTCGTATCTAAAGGCTGCACCGCCGCAAATAGTGCATGCGAGTTGTCGCACCGCAGTGCGCCTCGCGGACGGACCCTGGTCCGCCTACTTGTCCGATCTCTCTCTTTCTCTCTCTCTCTCTCTCTCTCTCTCTCTCTCTCTCTCTCTCTCTCTCTCTCTCTCTCTCTCTCTCTCTCTCTCTCTCTCCTCTCTCTCTCTCTCTCCTCTCTCTCTCTCTCTCTCTCCTCCCCCCCCCCCATCCCCCCCCCTCCCTCCCTCTTTCTTTATAGTTTGTTGTTTGTTTCTCTCTCTCTCTCTCTCTCTCTCTCTCTCTCTCTCTCTCTCTATATATATATAACATGGTTGGTAGCCGACATGCATTTTTCGGGTGGCGTTGCGGCGCGTGAGATCTGACCGGATCGCCAGCCCGTTCTCGTGGGGCCGCACGGCGCGCGAAATCAAGTGCGATCGCCGCCCCTCTCGGGGGCACCAGGCGCGTAAGACAGACTAGTCGTTGCTACAACTACAAGGTATAATTCGTAGTAGTGGCGTAGTGACTGCATCTGTAAGTATGAACGCGCCATAATTGCGCAATTCCATTTGAAAAGTTCGCAGATTTCTCAAACCGAGGGGAGGGCATGGCATTCGAGCATCGGCCCCCGCGTCGCAAGAGGACCGAAAAAGTACGCCCGCCCCGCGAAAACATCAATCAATCATCATGAAACTGTCGGCCGACGCGCGGGGCCGAGAGCGAATGGCGTCAACCGACCCCCCGTTTACGCGCATCTGGGACCTGGAGGACGAAACCGAATCTCAAACCTTCGTCCTAGTCCTCAGCGCCTAAGGCCTTGGCCTGCGCCCCAGTCAAATTCCCAGCTCTAGCCTCGAAACGCGCCCCCGTGCTCTTGCGACCGCAACGCGCGCGCATGTTCATGTGAGCCCACTGCAGGGGGAATTTGGTTTCACGAAATGCTTCCATGCGCGAAAGAGGAGTTCGGCCATCTGTAAAGAAACTAGCCATATATATATATATATATATGGATATGTAAGGTGATCCAGCCGTTCGAATACGGATCCCAACTTGCATGCATATGGATGCCGTTTGAATACTTGCGGGGCCCATCCATATCCGTAGAAGCTCTCAGGTGGCGCGCCGCAAGGATATGGCCAACGCATATCCACACGGAAAACCCGCAGGCATATGAGCAGTTCGCAAACGCATGGAAATTCCACTTGCTTGTGGGTTAGCGGTATTATTCAGGCAAGTGGCCGGAACTAGGGAAATCTGGCCTCAAGGTTTGCGTCGAATCACATATCCCGGAAGCCTTCCGCGCCGCAGTTGCCCCTGAAGAGGTCGAAGCTCCTGGAGATCTGACGGGCCCAGGGATTCGTCGTAGCTCCAGCGCAGCTGCGTTCGTCCAGAGCGGGAGGTGCGTTCGGGATGCGTCCGAACATGGCGACCAGGGCTTGTCGATGTGCTTGTGTGTGTGTGTGTGTCGACGCATGCTCTGAAGCCATGTAATTCTTCTGACCGCTAGATCTGCTCTCACTGGGGGGCATGAGAACCGGCGCTGCTCATCGCAATCACGCGCAAATCCTCGTGGATCGTCTTTTCGGCGACCCTGCATCAGAGCGCGAGGTACTTCGCCGTTGGGGAGCCCAGCTTCTTTTCTCCCCTCGGTTGTCTCCATAACGAGGGCCCGCAGACCCGAGGCCCCGGACTCCGCCACCTTCCCCAGAAACATCTCTCTCTTTTACGTCCAAAGCCCCTCTCGTTCCAGAGCTCTCCCAAGTGGCGCCGCCCCGCGGCCGTGGGGTGCGCGCGGGTCGCGACCCCCATCTCGCCGCTGCCTGTCGCGGCGCAGCGGGCTCCGAGATGTCGAGCGCCCGAGACGACCTGGCCCTGGGGCGGCGGACAGGATGTCCCGGAGTCCCCGATTCCCGGCGCGGGGCCCGAGACGCTACAATATTTGCGTTTGATATATTCTGCGCAAGATGCAAGTGGTGAAGGATGGACTCGAGCATCTTGTCGCCCGATTGAATCGTCTCCGCGGCCTCGTCTGCTGCGCCTGTCGGGCACAGCCGTTTCTTCAGCAGGTCGTCGGCGAAGCCGGGCAGAGATGCGCCCCGATGGAATCCCTCGACCTCGTCATACAGGATGATGGGTCTCTCAACGACATGCTTCCAGTCTGAGGTGAGTGCGTGATATGCGCCAGCATTTTTCCGGTGCTTCATAGACCTTTTCAAGTCCGCCACGATGTTAAAGAAAAGCGCCCCCTGATCCTCCAATGGAACGAGCGCGATGCCGCGCGCCAGGCTCTGGCGCGCCACGGCGCGGAGGTCTTCGCACAAATTGTCGGCCGGCGCGGAGGAGGTCGCCTGTTCGCGGGCAGAGGGGCGCGTTGGTGAGGAAGTGGAACTCGTTGATGCGGCGTTGCCGCTGGCGTCGGAATGACCAGCCCGTCCGTCGTTGTGCCAGGATGGCTCCTCCACGTCGGCAATGTGCCAGTGACTGGGCGCGTTGGCGTCGTCCGCCCTGGGCTCGCGGTCGGTCAGGTGTCGTAGTTGGTGGAGGTGGTGGAGGTGGAGGCGGTGGTGTTGGTTCGTCGTGATCGCGCTCGTCGAAGTCGCCGAATGGGTTGACTTCGCGCCGGCCAATTTGGCGTCGCGGTGCCAGCGCGGGGGTCTCCTGACGGACTGGAGCTTGCATGCGTTCGCCTCCAAGTGTGGAGGCTGCCTTGCGACGTCAATCTTGGGCTCGCGGTCGGTCCAGCGTCGTGGTTGGTGGAGCTCGTGGAGGTGGTGGTGGCGGTGGTTCGTCGTGCTCGTACTCGTCTAGGTCTAAGTAGACGAATGGGTCGAATGGGTCGACTTGCAGACAATGCGGTCGCGTCTACAGACCCTCTTGACTGGGGAACATGAGGGAGATGCGGATTTACGGTCGGTGTCGACCCAGCCACCGCGCTGGGACCGCTGGGGGTGGCTTCTGGTGAGCTCAACGCTATCGCGTGGATGTTGCAGCGCGCTCGTTGGCACCAGGGCCAAGGTTCACGTCTTGTCCGGATGGACTCGGCGCTTCTGCGCTCCAGGTTTCGAGGCCCGGCGGACGTCTCAGTGCGGGGGTGAAAGACCCACTGAGCGCGTAAACCATCTCAGTGCGGGGGTGAGAGACCCACTGAGGCACCCTGGTCTGTGGATCGCGTCCCAGGCTTGCGCTGCTCAGGTCTGCTCTGCAGTGTGATGTTCTCCGGCGGCGTCATCGGCAACGAATTCGCGATGCGCAGATTGACGTGAACACGCTCGTCTACTGGCTTGCATGCCTTTCGGACTTTCCCGCGCAGTTAGGGAACGCCTTTTCGTCATGACAGCCGACCCTTTGCATAGTCCCTCGCATAACTGGGCCTTATAGCGGTCCACTCGACATTTTGTCTCGAGGCGGGGGCAATCGCAGACTCGTTTAATTCTGTCGCCCTTATCTCTGCAGCGTGGCTGGGCATCATTTCACAAGGTGCGCTCTTGCGAAGCATGGGCCGCGGTGGCTCCAACAGGCCTTGTGAACTAGTTGCGAACAAGTTCACAAAAGGAGCGAATGGTTGCACAAGCTTACTCTTGTGAACTACACCGCCCATGTAGCATCATTGTGCAGGTAGGGGCTTTTCCGTTCCACCTGGCCTGCCCTGTGTTGTTTCGCACTCCAGGTAACCGGTGCGCTCTGAGGGCGACCATAGCGTCCGCCCTGAGCAGTTTACCATTTCCCGAAGGGATGCGATGCGTCTCCTCGGGCTCAGAAGACAGGTAGCCCCTGTTCATTTTCATCCGCGTTTGTGAATTTGGTGTCGCGGTGACGGTGCGGGAGTCTGCCGAGGGACTGGGGCTTGCTCGCGTTCACCTCCAGCTGTGGAATCTGGAACGAAATTGATGGTCGGGGTCGGATGTGCGGTGGCGGCGGCGGTCGGAATCGTGGCGTCCTCGAGCTCGTCCGCGCAATGGCCCGCGCCGCCCTGCGCGGAGAGCGCCTTGGCCAGGTGGGTCGGGTCGAGAGCCATCAGGGCGACTTCCACAGGGACGCTCCACATGGTCGCGCTGCGCCTCTTCTTAGCCGTCCGCAATCGAAACAGAAGTTGTTAAAATAGAGCGCGCGCCGTAATATCCATCGTCGTTGTGCATACTATGAGAAAGTCACCTTCACGAGGTGCAAGAAATCGATCCAGTTCAGCTTGAAGGTCGGCGCGTTGAGCTTCCAAAAATCCCTCATTGCCCTTGCGCGCGGTGTGGGCCCTCAGCTCGGTGAGGGAAGGCTCGTGGCCAGGTAGGTGGCACTAGATGCGGCCCCTCACCCCTACGGCCTCGCCAGCTGGTAGTCTTGGGACGCGGCGAACGTCAGCCGCGTGGCCACAACTTCGGGCCTCGACCAGCCCCTGGCACGGGTACTTACGATAGGTGGCATAGCCTCGTCGTGCTGCTCGTCGGATTATGTCGGTGGCGGCACGGATCTGTCTTCAGATCTTCTAGGCATGCTTAGTGATTGCCAAGCAAACTCCATCGACTTGCCGCGCGTGGGCTAACGATCGCGCAACTGTCGGCAAACCCGGGGCTTCCCAAGGCGCGATAGGGCACCACCTCGCGGACGCGCCTGCCGTTGCGAGCTCCAAAACAGGCCTGGGCAGCGCCAGACAGGGTCTGAACCCGCAAGTCGCAATCGAAGTCGGGATGCGGCAACTCCGCCCGACCCTCAAGCTGGCTAGCGATGTCGATCACGTTCAAACTCAAGTCGCGGTGAAATTCAAGTCGCCCCCCGCCGTGCTGAAGTGCTCGTGCTGGCCTAGAGCAGCCCCAGCGCGGGCGTAGATGTCGGCGCGCGAAAGTCGACGTCTCGTAATCGATGAATCGATGGCGAAGAAGAATGGAAGATGGTCGCGAGGCTGGGCGCCTGGGATCAGCTGAAGTCACCGCCCTCGCCCCCGTGCCACCGCGCAGGAGGAAAGCGCTCGCGCGCGCCAGGTCCGGGGATGAGAGGACATCGTTTAGCTCGGCGCCTGCTGCGCCGCTGGGCGCGAGGTGGGAGGCGCCGAATCTCCTCAGGGTCTAGCTTCGCGTCCTCGTTCGTGCTCTGGTACGTGCCTGAATTGACGTCGAAGCCCCGGGTCGGCGCGCGCCTCGCTGGGGCGCCTGCCATGCGCTCATGCATGTGGTTCATCGTCATCTCGATGCTCTGCTGCTGCGCACGCTTTGCGGCGCCCGTCTCGTAGAGCGGAAAGCGGTGGCATGTCGCCGCCAGGATGTCGGAATTGACTTGATGCGGACGTCGCCCGATCTGCCCCCCAGCCCCCGCGGCGCCAGCGCGAGAGCTGCAGCGCGGCTCCGTCTCAGCCGTCGCCCCGCCGCCATGCGCGTGCCAGCGCAGATGTCAGCCAACATGGCAATTCCTGTACGCGAGATCGGGTTCCGCCCAGAACTAGAATGTCCACGCCCAATGCACCTGCAATCTCTACAAACCGAAAACTCCGAATGAGAGACAGAGGATTGCAAGCCGCCGCCCGCAAGAAAACGCACGTGATCCCCTCTCAGGACATGCGCCCACGCATCGGCAGTTGGGCGAGGGGTCGGCGGGGCGGCGCGAAGCGCGCCGAGGTCTTCTCGTCGCTGCCCGCTGCGCTGCTTGAGCCGACGTGACAACTATATATATATATATATGTATGTGAATCACCGTCTAGATATATAATCATACATAAAACGTACACATGTAAACATATAGGTCAAAGCCCAGGAAGCAAAGGACATCAGGCGGGCGAGGATGGCCCGACACCCGGCAGCGCCACTCTGGCCCGCCGCGGTCACCAAACAGCTCCTCAGAAACCGTGGCCGCCACCCACGGCCAAATGAATAATACCCGATGCAGCCTGACGCTTGCACTGCATCGCGCATCTCGGCATAGCACGCCCCAGCGATGAAACCGACCGTCGCGCCGCGCCCCAGAGTCGACGCCGACGCGTCACTCGGAACAGCCGCCGCAGCTCAGAGAGGCAGGCCTGCTCCGATACCTGCTCGCACGGCGCTGCACTCCCCGCCTCGCAGAACGGCCGCTCCAGCGAAGCCGCGCGCGCCGCCGGGCCTCGCCCCCGCGGCCAGGCGCTGGGGCGCCCAGGGCAGTTGAGATTCAACGTCGGGCGCAGCTGTGCCAGGCTGCGCCTGGCAATGACAGACGGCCGCCAACGGGCGCGCGGGCGCCGCTGGGCAGGCCGGGCACTGGCCAGGCCACGCGCCGAGGATGGCGGCCAGGGCAAGCTGCCCCGCGACCGCGCCAGGACTCCAGGCTCAATTTCCAGCCGCGCTTCTGCGCCAGGGGCCTCGAGCCAAGAAACAATGCGCCAATGATAATGATAGCGCGCAACGAACGCGACGCATCCAAGTCAACTGCAATCGCTGTGGAACATATGAACTGAAGGCGTCGCAACGCGCGCGCCCGTGCGCGAGCGCATAGAAGCGCCGCAAATACGCTAAACGCGCGCGCGGTCTATATGCGCAGATACAAAGACGGAGAGCACAATAATAACAATGATAATACGTTTCAGAAATGAGTGCCCCCACCTGCTCGCGCACCGCCCAGCGCGTGTATCCCGCGCCTTCGACGCCCCATAGTTCCTCGACAAGGACGAAGCCTTCGTGCGCTCTTTCACGCCCGCCCTCTGCGTCTTCGATCGCCCCCCCCCCCGGGGGGCGCGCCCCCCCTGCCTGCCGCGCGCAGCGGGCGCGGCCCCGACGGCAAAGGAAGGGGGGGGGGGGCGAGAGGCGAGGGGCGAGGGGAGAGAGAGAGAGAGAGAGAGAGAGAGAGAGAGAGAGAGAGAGAGAGAGAGAGAGAGAGGAGAGAGAGAGAGAGAGAGAGAGAGAGAGAGAGAGAGAGAGAGAGAGAGAGAGAGAGAGAGAGAGAGAGAGAAGAGAGAGAGAGAGCGAGGGAGAGAGAGAGAGAGAGAGAGAGAGAGAGAGAGAGCGAGGGAGAGAGAGATAAAGAGAGAGAGAGAGAGGGAGAAAGAAGAATGGGGCACGAGACATATTAACAGGGCGAGGGCCACGCTCAGGAGCGCAAGCGGCAGAAACAGACGGGCGCGCCGGGCGGGCGGGCCCCGGCGGGCAGGCCGGGCGGGCGGGCCCAGGCGGCCAGGTTGAGCGGGCGGGTCGCTATGGCGTCGACCCACCATGAAGGAAATTTCTAACGGTAGCACGACCCCCAAGTGCATCGCCAGGGCATCCACGACGAGAGCGCGAGTCGCGAGTCCCAGGGGCGCGGCGCTGCAATGCGCGGCGAGGATGCGCCGCGCGAAGGCGCTGCTCCTGCATGAACTCCCAGCGAGAGCTCGATTTTGAAAGAAGCCCCATGGAACTATGACGCGGCAACCGCTGCCGCTGCAAACTGGGGGCCAGGGGCGCAGTTTTGCGACCGCGGGCTTTCCCCAGCAACAGACGGAGCTTCGGGAGGGGCGCTCTAATTGAAAAGTGCATCGGCCACCTGAGGGGGGGGGGGGGCCTTGTTCTTCAGGCATGAGAACTCAACGGCAGCATCAGCAAAAGTTGCAGCAGCAACAAAGAACAACAACTACAACAGCCACAACTACAAGCACGACAGCAGCAACAACCCAAGCAACAACAACAACAATTAACAAACAACCAGCAACCCAACGCAAATCGAACAAACATATATATATATATATATATATGTATGTATATATATGCCTAACGAACCATAATTAACTGAGCGCCCCGCCCGCCCGTCGATGGGTTGCGCTCGCAACCGCGGCGCCGGGCGCGAGCCGAAGCCAGCGCCGCGCCCCGCGGCGCGGGCGCCGCGCTGGCGGGCGCCGCGCCGGGGCGTCGCGGGCGACTCGGGCGGCCTCGGCGCCGGTCGCAGCGCGACCCATCAACGGGCGAAGACGCGGCGGGCGGGGGCGGGCCCCGTCCCGAGCGGGGGGCGCACGCCGCGCGCGTCGCGCGCAAATCCGCCAACCTCGGCAGTGCCGCGGCGGGGCGGGCGCCGCGCGGACGGACTTGCCCGCGCCGCCCGCGGGCGCCGCGGCGCGCGAGGCCAGCTCGGCGACGCGGCGCCGTTCGCGCCCGCGTCCGCTGCGCAAGGCGCGAATGGGACGGAAGGACGGAACGGAACGCGCGCGCAAATTTCCCGAGCGCCCCGCTCGCCCGCCGCTGGGCTGCGCGCGCCGCCGCAACGCCGGGCGCGCGCCGGCGCCTCGGGTGGCCCCGGCGCCAGTCGCAGCGCGATCCTGTGCAATGATGCGGCCAGCGCTGGGCGCCGCCCACCCGTCGCGCCCGCGGCGCGCGGCGCTCTGGCGCGAGGGCGGCGGTCGCAGCTGCTCGACGCGCCAGAACTGCCCCGCAAGCTGTCCGAACTGACGGGCGCGGCGGCGCGCGCGGCGAGTGGGGCGACGGCGAACCCCGCCGCGGGCGGGGTCTGCCGTCGCCTGTTCGACCGCACGGCCAAGAAAGGCAATCTCTCCTCTGCCGAGACCTGCCCGCGTAAAAACGCTCGCGCGAATGTCGAGCCCTACCGGTTCCCGCTCGACCTGGCGCGGGCGGCGCAGAGCGCTCAGACCGACGACGCGCCTGCCGCCCGCCTTGGCGATGTTGGCGCTGGAGTCTGCCGACTACGTCGCGGACGAAGTCCTCGTCGCGCTTTGCGAAGGCCGACCGCGGGCAAAAGGACTTGCGGCGCCGTCGCGTCGCGGGCGAGCTCCGCGGACGCGCGCGCGCGGAACGCGCGAGCGCGCTCGCGAACCGGCGCTGACACTGGGCGGGGGGCGGGCAGGCACCTCGCCACGGTGAGAGCCGACAGGGGCCTCTTTCGGTCGCTCGCTCGCGAACCGCGTTGGAAGCGGCGCCGAAACCCAGAGCGACCTCATTCGATCGGTCGCCCGCGACCCTAACGCGGGCGAGCGTTGCGCGAATGTCGAGGAGGACCTCGTACGGTCGCGCGCTCGCGACCCTCGTTCGAAGGCGCAGACGTCTCGCTCGCGCGCGAACCGCGTTCGGATGCGGCGCAGACCGTGGAGGTCGGACCCCGTTTGGTCGTTCGCTCGCGATCCACGATCGGACGCGGCGCCTGCGTAGACGCGGGCCTCGCTCGGTCGTTCGCCCGCGATCCTCGTTCGGATGCGGCGCAGACTTTTCATTAATGTATAAAATATAGATTTATATGAAAATATAAATATGTGTATATATATATGGGCCACGTCCGGTCGTTCGCGCGCGATCCTTGTTTGGGCGCGGCGCAGGCGTAATTTCGAGCCTCGTTCGGTCATCCGCTCGCGATCCTGTTTCGGACGCGGCGCTGACGTCGCAGCGGACCTCGTTCCGTCGCTCTCCTCGTCCGGATGCGGCGCGGACGAAAAATGCGTCTCGTCGGCCGCTCTTTCGCGATCCTCGTTCGGACGCGTCGCAGACGTCGGAACGGACCAAAGTCGGTCGTTCGCTGGCGATCCTCCTTCGGATGCGGCGTGGACGCCGAACAGACCTTGCGCGGTCATTCGCGCGCGATCCACGATCGGGCGCGGCGTGGATGACCCCGGACCACGCACGGCCGAACGCGCGCAAAACCGAAACGGATGCGACGCGGGGGCAGTTAATGCGCGGCAGCGTTCGCCGTGAAATACTGCTCCGAATGAGCACGAATCGATCCTGAACTGCGAACCCAGCGGCACCTGCGGGGGGGCCGGGAGGAACAGGAGGAATCTGCGCACGAGGACGGCGGCGCGCGCGGGAGGAGGGGGAATCGGAACCTGAGGAAGGATACGCGGCGCGGCGACCGCCGTCGCGGCGACCGCACGCGCGCGGAGCAGGCACGCGGCAGACGTCAACGCAGGGCAAGCCAGCACGCCGCAGGAGAGCGGCGGCGCGCACGCAACAGACCGCCGGCGCGCGCGCGAGAAGCAGGCAGGCCGCGGAAGGCAGTAGCGCCGGGCGCAAGAGCGCGCAGCGGGCGAAGCAGCACGCGCGGGGCGACGGCAGGCGGGCGCACGCGAGTGCAGCCCGCGCTCAAATCCCGAGCGCGGGGTGCACGCCCCACGTCCTGCATGCAAATTTGTGAACCTCCGCAACGCCGCGGAGGGCGCGGGTACCATGCGGAAGGGCGAGGACCTGCCCACGTCGCCTCCTGCGCGCCGCGACGCACGCATGCAATGCGGCGACACGGCGCCGTTCGCGCCTGTTCGCGCCTGCGTCCGCCGCGCATCCCCGGGGCCAGCGAATGTGTGCGATGAAACGAAAGGCTCAGTTCGTGCCACACAAAGAAAACAGGATTATCACACACATAGGCCTCAAAAACATAGCGTTCGTGGGAGTGTTGGATTGTAGCGTCCACTGCTGCATTGCCCGGGGGCGTTTTCAAAAGATTATGCCACCACTTGATGCTGGAATCTGTCTGATGACTGCCCCGAAATCAGATGCACCAACCTCCAGGCCTTTTCCTCCTCGGCGCCCTCGATCCTTACCTCTTCTTCGTCTCGCCATCATTTCTGTATTATTCCTGTTGCTCCCCTCCCCCCTCTCCTGCCCACCCCCTTTTCCCGTTTTTCCCCGTGCGCAGCATTTCCTCCTTGTCGTTTACCGTCACATCATCCATATTATAATTCCCCCTTCCCTTCTACAACCCTTCGTGCCCTCCACAGGTTTATGTTTGTAATGTCCCCCTGTGCTGGCCACCTCAGAATGCATGCAAGCTTGCGAAGTGAAGGAGGACATCCGCATTGGGATGAACCACCCGTCTGGACCTTGATGTGGCCAAGGGGGGGGATATAACAATGGATACCGTTTTGAACCTCGGGTGTAACCGCCCACGACTGTCCAAGTCAGAATGTGAGCAACCCCCACCCAGATCATCTAAGCCAGGCCCAGCAAAAACAGTTCAGCCCAGCGCAGTGAGATCAAACACAACCATACACATCAGCAGGCAGTAGAGCCATGAATAGAGCAGCGCAGATCAGCCGAATAGAAACAAGTAGCAGAGAAGAACAGACAAGAAGGCAGCCACCGAGGTAGCCGCAAAAGCAAAGGCTAAAATGCGACCCTGGCTATATCGCAGTGAACACGATTCTATCAAAATGGCATGCGGCATGAAGTACTCCTCCGAAACGGCCACGCTACCAGAAAGATCCCGGCAGTCCGGGTGCGAACGTGCCAGTAGCACCACCGCGGTCGGCTCACACTTTGGAGGCCGAAGTACGGTACCTGCTACTTCGCGATGGCCATGGGGCTACGAAAAGACAAGCCTAATGATAGAATCTGGCCGAGTGAATCAGAACACGGGTGAGTCTGAGTGCGAGCGAGTCTAAGTGCGCGGGTGTGCGAGTATGAGTTTGTATTGCGAGTGAGTCTGGATGAGCATGAATGTAAGGATGAGTGAGTAAGAGTATGAGTGAGTCTGGGTGTGAATATGAGTGTGAGAGAGGACGCGGGCAGGGAATCCTTCTTGGATGTATCCCTTCCGCAGAAGTATCCATAGTACATGAATGGCTCACCACTCACGCATCCCTCTCGCATGGGAAGAGGCTCGCTGAGGTCACAAAGCACGCGGCTGCATGTTGTTCGTGAACTTCACATGGCAGCCCCGAACTGAGGCTCAACGGGACGCGGCCGCCCACGCACTCTCTCTGAACCCACAAAAGCCCACTGCTCCTAGGGAACCACAACTGACGCACTGGCGCGCGCCGCTACGTTTTCTCTGCACGCTGCTTGTGGACAAACATGGCCCATGCCTTATCACGCATGTCAGTGCCCTCATAAAGGGGTCCACCATAGGGAATCCCGTCAAAACCCTATGATCATTATGATCACCATAGTCATCATTATTATCGTCGTCATCGTCGTCATCATTATGATCACCATAGTCACCAAAAACATATTAATCGCCGTCGTCGTCGTCGTCGTCAGCATCATCATCATCATCATCATCACCACCACCACCACCATCATCATCATCATCATCACCATCATCACCATCACCATCACCATCACCATCATCAACATCATCATCATCAGCATCTTCGTCGTCACCATCAAAAGCTTAATCGTCGCCATTGTAGCAATCAACAACATCGTCGTCATCGTACACGTGTCGTCCTCCTCGTCGTCGTCGTCGTCGTCATCATCCTCCCCATCATCATCATCATCGTTCTCATCATCATCATCATCATCATCATAATCATTATCATCATCATCATCATCATCATCATCGTCATCATCATAATCATCATCATCCGTCTGCTCTGGCCCTCTCCTCCTCGTCGTCCTCCTCCTCCACCTCTTCCCCGTTATATCTCTCCCCGTTCTCCTTTTCTCCTCCTCCTCCTCCTCCTCCCCCTCCTCCTCGACGCCTCCGCTTCTTCGAAGAAGATCCCTGCTCCTCCTTCTCCTCATCCTCCTCCTCCCTGTCCTCCCCGCTCTTTCAATCCTCCCTCCTTTTCTTCCTCCACCTCGTTCTCGTCCTTCCTTACGTCTAGTCCTCCTCATCCTCCGCTCCCCTTCCCTCTTCGTCCTCACCATCCCTCCCACACCATTATCATCATCATCCATCTGATCCAGCCCCCTCCTCGTCGTCGTCGTCGTCCTCATCCTCCATTTTTTACCCGTTCTATCTCTCCCCGTTCCCCTCTCCCCCTCTTCCTCCTCCTGCTCCTCGACGCCGCTTCCTCGAAGAAGATCCCTGCTCCTCCTCCTGCTCCTTCTCCCTGTCCTCCCGCTCCCTTCAATCTCCCTCTCCTTCTCTTCCTCCACAACATTATCGTCCTTCCTCACGTCTAGTCCATCTCATCCTCCGCTCCCATTCCCTCCTCGTCCTCAAAATCCCTCCCCGAGACAGAGAAGCCGAGAGCTACAGAATCTGTCAAACATCAACGGGGAACTATTGTTGTTGCGTCTGGAGGCCCTCTTGGTGGTCATCTTGAGGATCTCCTGTGCCGTCCACGGGGCCCCTTGGGCCATCTTGACGTATTGGAAGCATCTTGGAGGCCTCTCGGGGTTGTATTGGAGGCAGATTTCAAGCCTCTTGGGGCCTCTTCGGGTCCCCTGGGGGCCCATTTGGGCTTCTTGGGGCCTCTTGGGGCCCTCTTGGGGGCCTCTTAGGGCCTCCTGGGGGCCTCTTGGGGCCGAAGGCTCGAACTTCGAACTTGGTTGTCCCGCTCTGGGACCCCTCTGGGGCCTATCCTGAAGCTCTCTGGGGCTGTCTAGGGGGTCTCTTGGGCCGTCTTGGGCCTTTTTTGGAGGGTCTTGGAACCCTCCTGGGGGCCTCCTGGGCCGTCTTGGGAGCTTCTTGGGCCGTCGTGGACGCTGTGAACACGCAAGAGGCGAATATGTTAAAAATATACGTTTTCCAAAAGAGAAATGGGACGATTTTTGCTTCTTGTGCCTCTCTTGGGTGGCCTCTTGGGGCGTCTTGGGGGCTTCTTGGGCCGTCTTGGAGCGCTCTTGAGCCGTCTTGGGCTGTCTTGAAGCCAGCGCGGACGCTATGGAATACTTTGGGACCGTGCCGGAACCTTCTTGGACCGTCTGGGGAGCGCCTTCGGGTTCTGAGAGCCCCCGTGAAAGCGACCCCAAAAGCTCCCAATGGGTCCCAGACCCCCAGGGACACAGTGGGTACCCGGGGGGGGGAGTTTTGGAAAAGTGGACCGCCCCCGGGCCGGAGAACCCCGTCGCCGGGTATATTATATATAAATATATGCACATACCCGAATGTATGCTCACACGCATACATGCATGCATTCATGTATGTGTCCACACAGACACGCAACCACAACTATACACACGTACAAGTACAACCATGCATAGTCCTACAAACTTGCAAACATGCATGGATGCAAGCGTGCGTGCATGCATACATACACCAGTGCATACAGGAACACATGCATACACACATGCATACATACACACATATCGACATGTATGCATGCCTGACTGCATGCACACATACACACATATAAAGAAACGCGCATTCCCACATACGTAAATGCATACACCCATACAGCACACATGTGCATGCATGCATGCTTGCATACATACACACGCATGTGAATGCACACATACATATCCATCCATCCATCCATCCATCCATCCATCCATATATCCATACACACATACATACATACACACACATACATACACGCATACATACATACATACATGCATACATACATACATGCATACATACATGCATACACACATACACACATACATATACACATACGTGCATACAAACATACATACATGCATGGATGCGTGCATACATGCATATAGTAATACCTACACGCATGCATGCGCGCGTACATGCATGCATGCATACATACATACATGCATGACTGCATGCATGCATGCATGCATGCATACATACATACACATGTTCATACACACATATATGTAATTATATCTGTATATATACAGACATACATCTGCACACACACAAATATATATGCAGGTATGTATGCATACATAAAACAGTATATATATACATGAGCACACACATATACATACATGCATATATATACATACATACATACATACATACACACATACATACATACATACATACATACATACATACATACATACATACATATACATATACATAAACATATACATATACATATACATATACCTATACATATACATGTACATACATGCATGCATGCATGCATGCATGCATGCATACATACATACATACATCTATATACACACATATGTGCATGCGTACAGTCATACGTACATGCATGCATGCATACATCTACACACCTACATGCATACATACCTACATGCCACCATGCATACGTTGCACACACACACACACCTCCGCTCCACATCTCTCTCTCTCTCTCTCTCCCTCCCTCCCTCTCTCTCTCTTCCTCTTTCTCGTTGCGTGTACGACTCCACTCTCAGGCACAGATGCCTGCACAGCGCCGTTCGAGGTTGGGGCGCGGGCGCTGGCGGCCTGGAGGGCGGGGCCCGCGTTCCCACTCCCCGTCGCTCCCCTCCTTCCCCCTCCGTCGGGGACTGCGGCGCGACGGCGGAGCGCCTCACACAGAGCAGAGCTGGACTGCACCGCCCCCTGGGGGCGGCCGCGCAGGCGGCTGGAGGCGTCCAGGGGCTGCTTGGAGGACACTGGAGGCACTCGAGGCTGCCGCATAGTCCTAGGAGCCTCTGCCGCTTCGCCGCTTGGGTCGAACGTCATTGCGCCAACTCCCCAAAGAAGAGGGCTCTTGGAAGCCTCAAAGGCCCCGTGGGAGCCCTGGAGATCGCTGGAGGCTCTCCGAAGCCTGCTCTGGACGCTGGAGGCAAGCCACTCTCGACCCCCTTCGGGACAGTCCTGGGCGCCCAGAGGCGCCCCCTGCAGCCGACGTCCATGCACGAGGTCCCAGAAGCCCGACAGTCCATGGCCTGGCACTCCTCGAAGCACTCTGGGACGTCAGGAGAGAGTTGACGGCCAAATGCTTCGACCAAGCACAATGATTGTCAAATACTGCCACTGAGATGGAGTTGACGGCTCAAGCCTAGACCCGCCGCCCGCGACAGGGAGGAGGAGAAGGAGGAGGAGGAGGAGGAGCAGGAGGGAGAAGGAGAAGATGGTGGCGGCAACCAGTAGCGTTGACACTTGGTCGTGCTCAATCAGCCTCATTCCCGGGCGCTGGGCAAGCAAGAAGGAGACTGCCATGGCACGGAGGAGGGAGGACGGGGGAGCGAGGAGGAGAGGAAGAGTGACGAGGGACGTTCCAAGGTCAGGCCAGCGCTCAAGCACCGTGACAAGTGCGCAGAGGTCGCACCGCTTTCGCATCCCATTCGCAGCCACATCTCTCGAGTGCTTGCAAACGCAAGCCGTCCTCAAAGTCACGACACAACTCTCGGGCGGCCTCTCCACATGGAAAATACAGCACCTCTGATCGCATCTCAGAAGAATCCTCAGGAAGGGGGAGAGAGAGGATGAGGGAGGACGAGGCTGGAGGCTCCCCTGCAATAGGACGCCCCGCGAGCCAGCGGGGGGGGGGCCTGCCCGTCGCCGCGCTCTGGGCTCCATCATTGCAACCCCCCACCTCCCCCTGGCGAGGCCCCCCCGGGGAGGCACCGCCAGGATGCACCCACCGTCCACCGCTTCGGGGCCGTACACGGACAACTCGGGAAGCGGTCGGTGTGGACATCTGCCCGCCCCTGGGCCCGGGGCCTGGGGACAAAAAACTATACAAAATAAATGTTTGGGTGTCTGCCAAGACTTCCGGAAGAGCATGTTTATCCTGCTGCTGTTCGCTGTCCTTCGACAAAGGCGGGAAATATCAATGTCCACCACCCCTCGGGATTCAAGGGCACGACTTCGAAGCAGTTGACGTGGACACGCTGTGGCGTTGGACACGGAGGCAGGCCCAATGGAGGCCCCTCTGGGCGTGGCCACTGCGTCCCCCACACGACAAAGCGGGTGGCGTCGCCCAACGAAACGCCCAAGACGAAGCAGGACACAGCAGCAGCCTGAGCAAGGACAAACAAAGAAGACGAATGACACATTCAACTAACCAACTACGGAGCACGAACCGCAGATAGAGACCGAAGAACGAAGGGATGATGACAAATGAAATAGTGTTATGAGAAGAGATCAGGGACGAAGCAATAGAAGATGGAAGAAACGAGTGGCTGTGAAGAAGAAGACGGTGACAATGAGATGCGAGAGACTAAGAGGACGTGAACGGATATATGAGGGAATCCGATAAAGAGGAAACGCGGAAACGCGGAAGTGAAGAAAAAGCAGCCCGCAGCGCGGCGCCTCCTCCCCTCGCGCGGGCACTGGCGGTCCCGACGCTCTCGCCGAGGCGGCAGCGACGCCTGCCGCGCGGCACATGGTCTGGCTGCGGACGAGGCGCGATGGTCCTCGTGCAAGATCCTCCGCGAAGACCAGCACATACAACTACGAATCATCCATGCGCGCCCGCAGAAAAGGCTGTCCAAATTTATTGTATAAACTCCGGCGTCTCGAATCCTACCAGCTTTTTCGGCTGAGGTGGTCTAGCGATGTCTCAACTTCCCTTCGGGGAGGGGTACCCTCCCCCTCCCCTCCCTCAAATTTCTGGGGCGGGCCGCGATCGGTCAAGGCGCCCAAGATGGCTCCAAGAGGGCCTCCGGTGCTCCAAGATACCCTCCAAGGCGGTTCAAGGTAGCCGAAGATAGTTCAAGACAGCTTCCGGCATGCTTCAAGAGGCCCGACGAGGGCCGCAGAGCCCCTCAAGACCCCCCACGAGGCGAAAATCGATCAGAAACCGCAGGAAAAAGAATGATGTGTGCCGTCTCGCCTTTTCGCTTCCGATGCGCGTTTGAAGCCTCACGTTGGCCGAAAATGGCCCAAGAGAGCCCAAAGAGGAACCCATGAGGGCCCTAGACCGGCCCCACGAGCGCCCAAGATCGGTTCAAGAGCGCCCCCCCCTGTTGAGCGATAGATGGTCTCCAGGATGGCCCCAGAAGGCCCTCAAGGGCTCCCAAGAGGGCCCCCAGAAGGGCCCTAAGATCCACCAGAAGAGCTCCAAGAGGACCCCACGATCCCCAAGAAGAGCCGCAAGAGGGTTCCAAGAAGCGATTGTGGCTGGTGTGGATACGCGAAGCGTGAAAAGTTCTTCAAGGCTTGTGAGCAAAACCTTGGGACATCCCCCAGCTTGCATCATTCACATCTGTCGAGATGTGGTCCAGAAGAAGAGCGTCTTCATAGTCTTGTCGAGGCATCGGCGTGCTGAGTGGGCAACTGGGTTTCCTCGCCTACACAAGCTTTACCTTGATTTCAAATTTTTCGCGCGCGGCAAGGCACGCGCGCATGAATTCCGCTGCGTTCTGGTCGCCGAAAAAGCGGAATCATACTCCTACACCTATAACTACAACGACGTCTACCACTACGCCTACCACTACCACTATTACGACTACTACGACTACTACTACTGGTGCTGCTGCTACTACTACAACTACTACTATTACGATCACTACGACTACTACTACGACTACTACTACGACTACTACTACGACTACTACTACTACTACGACTACTACTACTACTACTACTACTACTACGACTACTACTACTACTACTAATGCTAATACTAATACTACTACTGATATGACCACTACAAGAACTACTACCACAACTACTACTACTACTACTACTGCTACTACTACTACTACTACTACTACGACTACTACTACTACTACTACTACTACTACTATTACGACTACTACTGCTTCAGCTGCTTCACTTACTACATATTATTACTCTACAACTACAAGTACTGCTACTACTTGTACTCGTTTACTACTACTGGTACTACTAGTACTTCTGGTACTACTACTACTACTACTACTACTACTACTACCACTACGGCTACTACTACCACTACTACGGCGACGACGACGGCGACTACTACGAGTACTACTACTACGACTGCTGCTACGACAACGACTAGGACTACGACTACGACTACGACGACGACTACTACTACCACTACTACTACTACGACTACGGCTACAAAAACAACCACGCATACTACTGCGACTGCATCTCTGATTACCAATATGACTACTACGACGACGACCACTACTACTACAGCCATTCGTGAGATTACTTCTAAGGCTACTGCGACTACTACTACTACTACTATTACTACTACTACTACTACTACTACTACTACTACTACTACTACTACTACTACTACCATTACTACTTCTACTAAGTGGCTGTTGCGAGTAGTACTACTACGACTACAACCAGTATTACCTTTACGACTACGACTGCCACGGCTACTACTGCTCCTACTACGAGTACGACTGCTACTCTGACTACGACACCGAGAACACAATACTTACTCCTACTGCTACGGCGGCGACTACGACTCTCACGACGGCAACGGCCACTAACAAAACTACGATTACTACGACTACTGCTACGAGAATCACATCCACTACTACTACAACTACGACTGCTACTACGACGACTACTGCTACGACGACTACTACTACGACTACCACTACTTCAACACTGCTACTACAAACACGACCACGAATACTATTACTTCTGCTACGCATGCGACATCCACCACCACTAAAAATACTTCTACTGCTACAGCTGCAGTTATCACCACCACCACCACTACTAGTACTACTACTACTACTACTACTACTACTACTACTACTACTACTACGACTACTGCTACTACTACTACTTCTACTACTACTACTACTACTACTACTACTACGACTACTACTACTACTATTATTACCACTACTACTACTACCACTACTACTACTACTACTACTACTACTACTACTACTACTACTACTACTACTACTACTACTACTACGACTAGTGTTACTGCTACTACTACTACTACTACTACTACTAGTACTACTACTACCACCACTACTACTACTACTACTACTACTACTACTATCACTACTACTACTACTACTACTACTACTACTACCACTACTACCACGGCGACGGCAGCGACGACGAGGACCACTACTCCTACTACTACTCCTACTACTACTACTACTGAAGCTACTGCTACGACAATGAATACTCAGAATATGAAGACAAGCCTACGACTACGACTGGCACGACGGCTGCGACTACCACGATTACGACTACTACCACTACAAAGAATGATGCTACGAATGCTTCTACTACAAATACAACAGATGGGGCGGCAACAACGACGACTACTACAACTACGACTACTACGGGTATTCCTAAAACTACTACGGCTACTGCAAATAACAGTACTATGATTATTACCACTGCGACTACAACTACCACGGTAACTACCACTACACCAACACATATTCCGACCACTACTACTACCATTCCGACTACCACTACCACTACGGTTGCTACTGCTATAACGGCTACTACTATTGCAGCTACGACATACCTTCCAACTACTACTACTACTACCACTACCCACACTACAACTGCTGCTGCTACTTCTAAGACTTCTGCAACTACTCCTTCTACTGCAACCATGACTACGCCTCCGACTACTACAACGACGACGACGCTGATTGCTACGACTACTACTACTGCCGCAACGAAAACTACGACTACTAGTACTGCTACGACGGCGACGATGACTACCACTCCTACGACTACGCCTGCTACCACGACCACGACTACTACCAGTACTAATACTACCAAGACAACGGTTACGACTACAACTACGACTACTACCTGTAGTATTACTACGTCTACGATAACTACTACTAATACTACTACTACTACACGTACGACTACTACTACTACTACTACTACTACTACTACTACTATTACTACTACTACTACTACTACTACTACTATTACTACTACTACTACTAATACCACTACTGCTACTACTGCTGCTACTACTTCTACTACGACATCTTGTAATTCTACCACGGCTACGACGACGGCTACGACTGCTACTACTACACCTACTACTGCGACTACTTAAGTAACTGCTAACACTACTAAATCTACCACTACTACGACTATTAATACCACTGCGACGACGACGATCACCACTACTACTACTAATACTACTACTACTACTACTACTACTACTACTACTACGACTACTACGACTACTACCACCTACCCCTACTACAACTACTACTGCGACGGCTACGAGTACGGCCACTATTACTACTCCTACCACTACGACTAATACTACTACTACTACTACTACTACTACTACTACTCCTACTACGACTACTACTACTACTACTACTACTACTACTACTACTACGGCTACGACTACTGCTACTACTGCTACTACTACTACTACTACCACCCCGACTGTTACTACTGCTACTACTACTGTTACTACTACTACTACTACTACTACTACTACTACTACTACTACTACGGCTACTGCACATGATCATACTTCGAGTTCTTGAGCGACGACTCTCGCTACTATATCTGCTACTACGGCTACTACTCGTGGTACTACTACTGCTGTTGCTGCTGCGGCTACTGCCACTACAACTACCCCGACTACGACGACTACCACGATTGGTACTACTATACCTACTACTGCTAGCAGGAGTAGTACTACGACTACTAGTACTACGACGACGACGAACAGGACTACTACTACTACGCCCACTACTACTACTACGACTACGACTACTACTACTACTACTACTACTACGACTACGACTACTACTACTACTACTACTACTACTACTACTACTACTACTACTACTACGACTGCTACGACTGCTACGACTGCTACTGCTACTCTACTTCTACTTCTACTACTGCTACGACTACAACTACGACTACTACTACTACTACTACTACTACTGCTACCACTACTACTGACACTACTACCACTACTACGACTACTACGACTACTACGACTACTACGACTACTACTACTACTACTACTACGACTACGACTACTACTACTACTACTGCTACTACTACTACTACAACAACTACTACTACTACTACCACTACAACTACTACTACTAATACTAGTACTACTACTACTGCTACTACTACTACTACTACTACTACTACTACTACTACTACTACTACTGCTACTTCTACTACTACTACTGCTACTACGACTACTACTACGACTACGACGACGACTACTACTACTACTACTATTACTACTACTACTACTACTACTACTACTACTACTACTACCACTGCAATTACTACTGCTACTGCTAGGACTACTACTACTACTACTACTACTACTACTACTACTACTACTACCATGATTTCTGTTCTTACGTTCCTGCTATTCGACCTTGTCCACTTCCTGTTCATAATGATTTCGCCTCCACTTATGTCTCTT